AAATTTCAAAGCAATTGGTCCAGTATTCGAAGAGAAAAGCGATATCATCATGACGAAAAAGAAGAAGAATACTAACAACATAATATTGAAACGATCGTTATGTAGACTGACGTGTCTAATAACCCGTTTGAAATTTTGATGGCGATTATTTTCGTTTTCATAGTAATGCCTAGCCTGAATTCTTAAAATGATTTTAATATAAGCCCTCCCCTAAAGAATAAGACCTGGTTGATAGCGCAATTTTTTTTTTTAAATAAAAATGTATTATTTCTAAGTAAACGGATATCGGTTTTCGCATTTTATATATATATATATATGTAAAAATCTCGTAATTCTGTATTTTGTAATTTTGTTTTTGCTAAATGTAAATAAAATACATCCCCCCAAAATAAGCCCTACGCCAGTTTATTTGGGTTTCCTTTAAATTATTACATGTAACACTCTAATGAGTCTAATCAACTCGCTCATGCGTGTAACCTTTTTTCCCGTCGCGCTCTTCGAGCGCGTTCTGCTATTTCTAATCATTCCTTTTTAAGTTGTCTTAAAAGTTTTGTTACAACTTGTGTGTTGTATTCGTGAAGGATTGTGGCAGGATCTATTAATATACGCCGATACTGGCGTGGTGGCAGCGATACGGAGAGAATCCATTGCCTTCAATATTCGGCTAATGCCCGAAGATATCGATAAAGTAATTCATCACGGCAAAGAAACTTGAAATGAGACCCTGCTTTATTTTCGGGGAAAAACGGTATGATTTTGGAAATAAAATAATCTAAGGTTTTACCTGACAAAAATGAACGCTTATTTGCCAGACGGTTTGCACTAAAATATATCATACCTATGTACTACAATATTATTTTCGCTATAATTATGACTTTTTCGGAAATGCGCACCGCCCCTCCCTTTCCTCCGTTTTTTCGCCTCCTATTGCGTCGCTCTTAAAAAAAGAAAGTGAGATATTGAACCTCGGTGTCGCTGCTCGATAACCATTCCTGGTTCCCCGCGACTTTTCTCCCTGACGGTTTTTCAGCCTCCGGCCTGCCCCGCTAACTATCTAACGTAATTTCCTTAAAAAATTAGGTTAGTATTGAACCTCGGGTGTCACTGCTCGATAACCATTCCTGGTTCCCCGCGACTTCCCTTCCCCAGGTTTTTCACGCGTTTTAGCAGGGTTATTGGTGTTTTTTGACGGTTTTTCACTGTTTTAAAGCGTTTCAGCAGGGTTATTGGTGTTTTTGACGGGTTTTCACTGTTTTTAAGCGTTTTTGCAGGGTTCTTGGTGTTTTTTGACGGTTTTTCATTGTTTTTAAGCGTTTTAGCAGGGTTCTTGGTGTTTTTTGACGGTTTTCCAGCCTCCGGCCTGACCCGCTTACTATCTAACGTAATTTCCACTAAATAATAAAGTTAGTATGGAACCTCGGGTGTCACTGCCCGATAACCATTCCTGGTTCCCCGCGACTTCCCTTCCTCAGTAAAAATGCGTTTTCAGTTTTGTATTTTGTTAATTTCGTATGTTATTTTTTACTGAATGGGAAAAAATAAACTTGACTATGACTATCTTCCCACTTCGATAATCACTGATGCAATAGTAGGATTTACTTATTTATCCGTGGGTGAGTAAAGGCAATAGGACGGCTTAATCATATGACGAACCCCGGCCTCTAGTGCGGTTACCAGTCCAGGTCCGGGTATGGGATGAGTTAGCCAGGTATTGATTTTCAGATGCATAGACTTGATGGTGGAGGAAGCCGTAACCGAATAGCGCTTACGTCAACAAACTTACGGCGGCGAGGAGTCCAGCAATCCTCTCGCACATAACTATTCAAGCAACCGAACCTGCGAACCCACGCAGGGTAATCAGAGGTGCGGTGGCGAGCGTATTCCTAACGCTTGGCACAATGAGCCATAACGCCGAGTTCACTCTTTCCCGCTTTGATAATCACTGATGTAAATGTACCTGATAGTGAGTTGAAAATCTTAACGCGTCTTTCCTACATCAAGATAACCAAGGACTACAAATTATATTTGCGATCTTATTTATTAGCAGAAAAAAATAGGAAATGTTTCCTATAATCAAAAAAATGTCCATCCAGTACGCTCTTATATTTAAAATTTCAAAGAAATGAATATATACAATCCAAAAACCATTTTTGTGCAAAATACTGGATTTTAACACGAGATCAAACTGGTAAAAAGAAAAAAGTCATTTTCATTAAAAGTGAAAAAATTGCACGTCTGACGTCACAATTAGGAACAAAGCTGTCTTAAAATGAATAATGATTTCATAATCATTAGCGACAGCAATAACAGTCAAAACTACAAGAAAAATTTAGCAAATTTTAATGGGATTTCCAAGTTGTATCTAATCTAAAACAAACTGGAAATTCAAGCTGAGGCGCCCGTTTTGTCCAGTTGCAAGCAATACTTGAGAATGCTTTAAATTTACCCCATTTTATATTGTAGTGTGATTTTCAATATATGTACAATATATACAAAATGAATTGAGGCAGCATTAGGAATTGCTACAAGACATCTTATCTGATTCCGTGAATACAGGATATTTATCATGGAAAGATGGGTTCTAACAGAATCCCGATATTGGCCCTCCCAGACTAGCTTTTTACTTTGGTTATTTAATGTTAGATATTGTTACATTCTGGTTTTATGGCAATCCAAACCAACCTAACCTAAACAAAATTAAAGGAAACAGATTGATAGGCCAATAACCTCAACCTAACGGAATAAATATGTAAATCCTATCCAATAACCAGAGTCAAAAAAAAATAAATCAGAAATAAAGTCTTGACTGATAACAAGATAAAGTCCGTTTACAACTTCAATTGTTATGAAGTCATTTCTCAGCATTTCTTACCAGGTTTATTGTTTTTTAATCAATTATTGTTTAAGTATTTTTACTTCATTTATTACATCCGTGAGGGCCAAAACATTATAGGGTATTGGTAAATTCCTGGCAATTCCAAAAACTTTTAGGACTTCATGGACACCCTATATCTTGTAGAATGAGGCCTACAGGAAGGAAATAGCTAACAAGTTAATGTTTCGAAATTTGAAGACTTATTTATTGAAAAGTGACACTTTTTCATACCCCATCTCAGAAAATATTCAATACACCAAGGTTGACAGCAGCAAAATTGTGTCCACCCCATAAGAAAAGAAAACAAAAACTCTGTTTATAGAATGATTTTGGTCCAAAGACTTGCAACAAAGCATAAAAGCATGATTCAAAGCAGCAAAAAAGAATAAAAATAATAGGTAAAAAGAGCAAAAAAATTGTCATCAATAAATTTGTTGGGATTTCACTCTGGGAGAAGAAAGTTGATGATAATTCTCGTTTCAGTTGCAGAGTAAAAAAACTAATTACCGAGATAGCACACATTGAGTTAACTGGCTCACTTGGGAGGAGGTCAACGGGGAATTCCCCCTCAAAGCCCTAAAATTTATTGATACATCATATTTTGTACATATGACGACAAGCCCTTTATTACATTATATGATGTCATAACAAGGACATATGGGAAGATAATTAAGAACCTTGCAGCACAATCAATCTAAGTTATTATTACATCACATTATGTAAATTGTCTTTGAAAAAATAGATATTGAAGAGCAAAAAATTGTGGAATGTCCAATTTTTTCAGGTGTTTAAGATTCAGTACCATGCGGCAATAAGAAACAAACAAGCGTAAAAACTTTATAATTAAATGAGTTGAAAGAAAGAAATATTAAAAACAAAATAATTTATGTACATTTCAAAAAAAAAAAAATTGACTTCATGGGCTTTGAAGAGTACGTCAATTATTTAAAAAAGACAGTGCTTTAGCTGTTTCTAATGTATGATTGAGATAGTTTGAGCATAAAATTGTATATTTTTTTGCAATTTGGTACTATTTTGCAGGGAGTTTTTAGTATCACACAAATAAATTACCACCTTGCAAATAGAAAGCACTGTGCTATGTTACACTTGATAAGTCTTCAATATAGCTTTTATAATGGGGAATTTAAACGGATTTTAGATAGCGTATGATTTCACAATTATACTTGATGCCAAGGGAGAGGAAAGCATATAAGATAATTAGATTCTCCCGTCAAAATTTGTCAAATGATTTTATATCTATGCAGGAGGAGAGGAAAGCTGATAAAACAGCTGAAGTCTCTCATCAAAATCCAAATAGCCAGCAATCCAAATACATGGAGTAATATTGAAATACAAATGCTTGCTTCATTTACTCAATTTATCATATCACGCTTCATTTAACATCGACACGCTTCAATGGAGATTTAAATATGATTAGCGGCATTGAAATTGATACACATTATGATTTTTGCTGCCCAAATAAAACAAGTAAACATGTTTTGTGCAAAAAAGCTGTCACAAAAAATTTGAACTAACTATCAGTGGCTGACCTCAATTTTGTGCAACTTATTTAAAATATCACAGCACCGAACTGGGTATGAAACCTCCAGAACCATTTAGGTTATCACAAATAAAATGAAAAATAAAAGTACCATCAAAGTTTTGGAAAACTTTTTGCAACAATAAAAAGCAAAATGATAAATGTAATTCAATAATCAATGTAACAGGTGATATATTTAGTTTAAAAAACACAGTTTTGGGCCTAAGAGAGGATAAATGGTCTGGATCCTAACAAGAAATTAGAAACAAGTCAAATCCTATTCACTTCACTAGTTGCCAAATGCTAATAAGTAAATCAATGAAGCATAAAACTACATAACTGTTACTTCCCTTTTGGAACAGAATTATTCTGGCCAGTTATGGTCTGCTGATCACCAATAGTGTTCCTGATTCCTATTTGAAAGAAGATTACTCTGGCCAGTCACTGTCCATTGATTACCAATAGTGTTCATTTTTGAAAAGAGAATATTCTGGCTAGTTATGGTCTATTGACTCCCAGTAGTGTTACTTTTTGGAAGAGGATTATTCTGGCCAGTCATGGTCTGTTGATTACCAATAATGTTCATTTTTGAAAGAGGATTATTCTGGCCAGTCGTGGTCCACTGACTCCCAGTGGTGAAAAATTCTGAGTGGCAGAATTTGGACCAGACCTTACACATATATTAATTGGCTCATTAGACATTACATGACAAAGTAAGGGTTAATATTGTGTCATGGTACAAGTGAAAAAATTCTTTAATTATATTATTTAAAATCCATGAAAATTAACCCTTACCTTACTAAGGGGTGGGATAAAAGACTTGAAAGAAAAATGAACCATAAAAAGTTGTAAAGCATTTCATTAATGTATACAATATCATATTAGCAAGTCAATTCAAGAAATAAATAAAATAGACAGCTTCGAAATTTAAAAGTACCGTCGTAATAAAGAAATAAAAATTGATTAACGAGAGGATGAATGATTCTTCTTCGTAGTACTGTTGTGGAATGTTTCCATTGTTGAACTCTGAAATAGAAAAGATGAAGATTATTTTAAACATCATCCTTGCTAGTACATTCTAGAAATTATAAAAGTGTTTGGGATAGGTAGGATTGTTTGTTCTCATTGTTGGTTGAAGGAGGTTTGTACGCCCAGTGATAAAAAAAATATGAGACCAAAAATATAAATTTCTAAACTATTGTTTGATGTAGTGTTTTGTAAACTGAAATAGTCTAAACCTATTGCAATGGGTTAAAATGAATGAACAACAGTTCTACTTCTGTATAATAACATTATTGATAATTTTTTTTTAAAGAGGGGGTAGGGTTAGAGTTAAGTTAGATGTTATAGCAGTAAAAGATAGGGTTAGCTGAAATAGGTAACACGGAATACGACCCACATATTTAATGTGTAAATGGAAGACAGCTCGAATATAGGTAATACTTGACATCGGAGTATATATCCAATTTCAAAACTTATCAAACTTTAAACAACACTATAATTGTGCATTACAACGTAAAACAAATTACAGAATTATACAATATGTAGTAAGACCAAAACATAAGATAAAAAATATATAAACTGTTTTGCGTAAAACTACCCTTTTTCCCCCTATTTTGTTATCATATATCATGGGATTTTTAGTTTATTCTAGAGGTGAAATGCCCAACCGTAATAGTTTGAGCGGTGCCACAATGCTAGCGCAAAACTGTTTTCATTTTGTTGAGCATGAATTGTCTGATCATAATGCGATTTGGAATCTACCAATCAAAATACCACTGGAATGATAACTGGGGGCCATGAGTGCCAAAAGCCTCCGGAAGGGGGCCACGAGCCTGAAAGGTTGGGAACCATTCTTCTAGTAACTTCAGCACCGTTACAGGAGTAGTTAATCAATTCAGCTGTTCCAAATACAAGGATTCGCCAGTTTTGATAAGGTGATACTGAATCTTCAAAAATTTTAAATTGAATATGATATAAATTCTGACTATAACTGTTACAGATTGCCCCCTATGATTGGGATGTTAGCAGGAAAAGTAAAAGCCTAAGTTCAAATCATGTTTGTGTATCCAGGGTGCTATAAAATAAGACAGGTGATACAAAACAGGGAAAAAAATTTTGATCTTGAAGTATCTGTGTTTATGAGTTTTATTTGGGACAGATTCTGAATTTTTCAGCGCAATGGTAAATTAAACAAAAAACATTTTAACATACACCACAAACATTTGTATAAGGAGACATACTAACAACACAATAAGACAAGAAATTATAAACAGCCACTACGAATCGATGGGAACCTGCACAATAAAGGTTGTTACAGACGCTTAAAATAATGTACAATCCCCGTAAGCGCAAATGCTCGGAATTAAGAAGAAAACAGCTCAAACAACACTGTTCATATTTTGAATTATCGGGAAGTAGCAGAAGACAATATAGTTGTATCTTGAAAGCCTATACCTCAAGGATCTATTTTTAACTGATGTCATATTTATTTTAGAAAGTGCATGAAACTTTTTTGCTAACTTTTGTGAATACTATGTATCTATATTTTGATATGTATAATTGTGTTTGGACATTTACTTTTTGGGCATCACTTGATGAAATTAGAATTTATGAAATTTTATTGTTTAATTTGTTTATGAGCTTGGAACAGGCTTCATCTAGTAGGCGTTGTTAAAAATACTTGATCTTCCATGTACAGTAAAACTTAACCAACGTCGCACAACCTGGTGTGTATAGTCCCGCATTTTTTCTAAATTTGCCCCAAAAAAATAATCGATTTAATGCATATTTGGCTAATAAAATTTTAAATTGTGTTCTGATTGAATAAAAGTATTCTTTTTTTGATGGTTGAGCTAAGATATTCAATATTCATTCTGGGGTGAGACAACCAAATTAAAATGTACTATTATATGGTAGGTTACTATTTGAGTATGCGATTAGTTTAACAGATAATCAGTTGAAATGAATTAACTTGGCTATAACTTTAATCAAAAATGAGAAAGACTTGATCTACACTAGTATGGATTTTTTTTTGTGTGAAAATGAACTACTCTCTACAAATGAGACTCCCTATTCATTACAAGACTCACCAAAACACAAACGAAACAAAGAAAAAACTTAAATTACTGCACAAAATTGGGGTTTATGAACTTATTTTACATTTATTATATTAACTACGGAAGATATTCATGCCTACTTGAACTCAGCAATGACCACAACACAAACTATTTTTTACTAAATAATTTTAACCACATTTTTACGCACATACTGACAAAATAATTGACACTATATATTTCATCACGACACTACATTATATCCATGTTGGACATTGAATAACAGACCTAACTCGCCTTCACTTTTTCGTCACTGTATGTCACCAGAGAGGCATATTCTCCGACTAACTCAAATTTAACTGAGGGAAAATGAAAAATAAACATAGTAAGTATTCGGAAATGATGCCAAATACATCCAATCACAGATTCGTGGCAGAATAATTAAATCTGATTTAAGGTTGAAACATTCTGCCAAGGAAAGTATCTAGCAGAAAGCTTTAATTATTCATTCATGTATATATATTATGGCCGTTCGGATATTCCCAATAATTTAGAAAATATCAAAACAAGTACAAGCAGAACTGTTAGGATGCAAACGATATAAGATTCCAAATTCTGAATTGCCTTGCATACATACTTCAAAACAGAGCAATGAATATTGAAATTCAATTGAAAAGACCACAATTTTTATACATCTAATCAATATAATTTTATCTATAAGAAAATCTTATCTGTTCTATCAATCGAAGATAAAGTGGGAAGATAAGAAATATAACTGGACAGAGACTTGATAAAGGTTATATTGTTTGGTTCTACCAGTTATGCATGTACGCAGTGTAAAAAATTTGCAACCATTTGCTGTTCAACGACAACCTTATTTTGAAGTTGTGAGACTTACCATAGTTAAATTTATTGGAATGTGGTTACATTGGAACAAATTCATAAATCAGTATGGTCTGCTTTGCTCCTTTGGTCTCTTCAACTGGACTTTAAGTCTTTTCATTCCGATCTGGAATCCGTTCATGGTCTGGATTGCAGTCTGAGCACTGACTGGATTGTCGTAACTTACAAATCCTGAAGAAAAGAGATCGATGAGTTTGCCATCGAGAAACATTATGTATACTACACAATAATTATCATAGTAAGCGATAACATAATGAATCAAAATATACAAATAAAACCTGGATATGAAATCATTAGATAAAACGACACCATAACTTACAAATCCAGAAGAAGGAGAATTTGCACGAGCTTAGGATATGATATACATATTTATTCTGTGAGAGAAAGAGCCGATGAGATGGCCTAATCATATGGTGAACCACGACCTTTCGCCCAATTACCAATTCATGTTGGGTAAGGAATGAGTTACCCAGTTATCTATTTCAGACGCCTGGACTTAATTATTCCCTATGAGATTCGAACCCACGCAAGGCAATCAATCTGAGGTGCGCTGGCGAGCATATTCCTAACGCTTAGCACGATGCGCCACAACATCAATCTTTTCGTAATAAATTTGAAAAATTCTTACCAAAACACTTGCTCTGGTTCGTTGCTCTATCAATGAACACTTTTGCAGAAATAACATTTCCGAAAGGTTGGAAAACATTTGCAAGATCAGCATCCGTGAACTCTTGTGGAAGATGATAAATGAAAAGATTGCAACCTTCCGGACCTACAGATGAAAAATATCAGATTATACATTTTTATGCGACTTATTGTACACCTTTAACTCTGAACAAGTCTCTGTATAGGAATTTACTGATAACCACTTCATTTTTATGAGGACCGGATTGTTTCCAGGTCAGCATTGCCAACTACAATTTATTGCGATCTTTGAAAAGAGAATTCTTTTAGGAAATATTTAACCTAATAATTAAGAATACCCTAAAATTAACCTAATAAATTAAGAATAATTTTCTATAATAAGTAACTTTGTATTTTTCTTGAAGTCAATAAATCAATTAAATGACGAAAGCTCAATTAAATGACAAACCACTGACTATTGGCGAAAAAGTCAGATTAATAGCCAAAATGGAGAAATGAAATTTATATTATATTACAGGCAAAAATCCAATTACTATCCTTGAAATAGTGGCACAGCGCAAGTGTAGCAAAGTATGCCAAAAAGAGAATACCATAAGGGACATGGCCAAATAACACAACTAGTAAAGTGCAAAAAATATAGGATTATCTCTAAACCAAAACCAATTTTACCCACCTTCTTTCTGTGGTGCAGTCGGGCTGCTGATAACAGCTGGTGCAGCTTGAGTGGGTGTGATTGGGGTCAGTGGGGGCTGAGCAATGTGTTGGGGGGCTGGTACTTGAGCGTATTGTCCTGGTGGCACATACACAACTGTAAAATAAAGAAAGATATGAAATAATGATACAAAGCAGTGGTTCTCCAACGGTGGGGCCCCACACAAGGGGCGTAAATAATTTTTTGAGGGGGGCGAGAAGTTGACTAAAAAATTTAGAGATAAAATCATAATTTTTGGACTTACACTATTATACCACAAACATACAGCAAGATGAGCATATATGTAACAAGTTTCCCCAAAAATAGGACTGGTTCGTATTTCAATTTTCTTTCAAAAATAACACTAGGGCTACTTTTTAGGGGATGTCTTTTATTTTCATTTATTGAAAACAAAATTGCAAGGTAGAGAATTGAAAAACATGTTTTTATTTATTGCGCTATCCTCTCCAGGCCTCGTTCAAGGAGGCGGCTCTTGATATAATCATTCATAAAATTCAGGCCAGGTCTTTTTTCCAGGGAAACATGACAGTACCGAGCAAGTTGGTAGTTTCACAACTTTTTTATCAGTACCCATTTTAGTAACTCCTTGCTTTGAGTAAACTTGCAACACTTCGTAATGGACCCGGGATTTGCTTTGAAAATACTTGTATAGGAGGTGTGTGGCTCATCGTGCTGAGCGTATAGGAATACGCTGTCCACCGCACCTCTGATTACTCTGCGTTGGTTCGCAGGTTAGAACCCCCATGCAGGGATAGTTATGTGCAACAGGATTGCTGGACTCCTCGCCGCCGTAAGGTGGTTCACGTAACCGCTGGTCGGATACGGCTTCCTCCACCATTAAGTCCATGCTTCCGAAAACAAATAACTCACTACTTATACCAGACATGGAATGGTAACCAGACGAGAGGCCGTGGTTCGCCATATGGTTAGGCCGTCTTATCCCTTTCCTCTCCCCCGGGATAAATATGTATATCCCACCCTACTTTGAGAAAGCATGTGCAAAACAAATCATACCTGTGTATGGTTGTGCGTAGCTTGGTGGCTGCATCATCTCCATGGTCGGTGGAGTTTGAGCTGAAAATTAAATAAAAATTGATTAAATTGATGAATAATTTAGAATACAGACATGAGTCATCGATGTGATTTTAGTAATGCATGGAAGAAGAATTCATGGCTGATCAGTAATGTGAAATTGTGGGGAAAAGATAAAACCATGCTGTTGTTGTTGTTGAACACAACCATTAACACTACAGAAGAGGAAAGAAGATAATATGGTTTAATCATATGCCGAACCAAGGCCTCTTGTCTGGTCGCCAGTCCATGCCGGGTATGGGGTTAGTTAGTTAATTGTTTTCGTTAGCATGGACTTGATCATGGAAGAAACCGGTTATGTGAACCGCCCATATAATGATGTTTCATATAAATTTACTCTTGTGTACTAAACCCTATCAAGGTATTGAGTACATTTTCACTCACAGCATAGTTTCTGAACTATAAGATACAAACATTGACTGCAAGCATAATCCGTGTGACGTGAAACCAAACACTAAGTAATGTACTCAAATAATAATTCAAAATATCATGAAACTAATGTTTGTGACAATTCAAATCAAAATCAAGGATATATTGCTAAACATGATCATGGGCACATAAAAAAAGCAGGAATAACCCAATTAGTAATATAAAATATCAGTAAAATAAAGGGCATTGCATACATTTAATATTTCAGGCATACTGCTGGAACTCAAACGGTTGGCCTAAATATTCTTTTTAAATCAGGTTAATAAATTATTAACGAACACCATTAGGTGTCCAATGTTTTTGATCAATACATTTAACTTTGCATAGTAAATTTCTTTTTGTGTCAATTCAAAACTTTAGGAACCGAAGAACTTTATGGTTTTGATTGAACCTACTCTTTCAATAAAATATTGAATGATATTCTGTAATCTCCAATTTCTCCAAAAATAAGGAAATAGTATTAAAGTGTGGTGTAAGAAAGGAATGAATACTCAGATCACAAAAATTGGGATGGGCACTGAGGTAAATATTTATCACTGAGAGCATGAAATCATGATTTTAAAATGTCATACCACCAAAACAACTCTGGTAATGGTAGCACATTTTAAAATGTCCTGGAGGTACATAAACAACTGTGAAAAATAGAAGATATGAAATATTGATAGAAAAGGGTTTTGACACTTTGATTCCAAACAAGCTTGCAAGGCATTTTATTTTGTTTTCATGCTTTCAGTAAGTAAAATCCCAACCCTGTGCCCACCATGCCCTTCTTGGGCAAAAGGGAGAACGACACAATGTTCCACCCGTCCGTCCGCTATTGGAAGAGTATGTTTAGTACATAGATACAAACATTCATTGATTGAAATTACAACATGTTCATTCAATACAACAGCGCAAGATGTGAAATGATGATTGTTATGGTTACAAGACATTCAGATTTTAGTCAGGAAGTAAACTAACTTCAAATGTGGCTCGAAAGCAGCAAATATATGGGAAATATTACAAAATTGAACATACATAAGAAACAAATTTCTGATTTCCAAAGATTTATCTGCCAAATATGAGTATGGGTCAATTTACAAAAAGTTTGAGGAAAATAAGAAACTGAGGAATTTCGAATTTGAGCATGCAATATCATCAACAATTTTCAGAAAAGATGAACTGACTTCTTAAAAGAATGGGCGTTCTAGATAGAAAATTGTGGCAACAGTCAAGAGCTCGATTTCCAGTAAGTTTCAAATTGTGGTGTTTAATTTAGAAAATGAGGCCACAGTAACAGTGATTAGACTGTCAACAACACAGAGTACAATGTATTGAATACCGGTAGACATTTTGTTAGATGGAAAATACACTTACATGCACAAATACTGACAGTGTCAGGGGATCCATTTTGTACATTCATGCTATGAGCACTTGCGGTGGTCACAGGGGCTAGCCTAGTACCTGGATAGGCCTGCAGGGGATAGAGAGCTTCTTGTGGGGTTGCCAGTCCGTTGGCTTGGGAGACAATAGGTGGTGGAACAAGATTCAAAGTTGTGATGGATGCAACGGGACTTTGCGGAGTGCTTGGAATTCCTGCGATTTGAGTTGGACCTGAAACAATGGAAAGTAATGGTTTAAGCGTTAGAATTGTGTTGGCATTACAAAGTGAGGTGCTCCCGAAGTATGTGTACCAAGAAGGCGCACAGCCTGAACATAGTATGTGTACCAGGATAGGGCTGCTCAGGTTGTGCATCATCTTGGTATGAATACTTCCGGAGCGCCCAAAGTAAATATCTAAAAGTCAAATTCCTTGACCCCCGCCTCCCCCGGGGTGTAATAAATTGATTGGCAATGCCAATCCAAACGATCTCTGTTCCTACAAAAATAATGGCTCCTTGTACGGGATCTGAGGAAATGACTTGAATGAGCGTCATAAAAATAGTTAGCTTTGTTGGAATGGAATCGTCTGAATTTAACTGATACGCTAAATTTTGTGTTATCAGATAAGCCAAATTGGATTTTCATTTTTCATATTTATTCTTTAGGAGAGAAAAGCCAACGAGATGGCTTAATCACTTATCAAACCTCGTCCGGTTACCAGTCCATGTCGGATATGGTGATACCTAACCAGTTATTTGTTTCAGATACGTGGACTTCTAGATAAACTATATCTATCTAGGATTTACATATTTATCTTATGGTAGAGGAAAGTTGATAAGAAAGCTTAATCATATGGCAAACCATGGCCTCTCGTCCGACCGCCAGTCTGTATCCAGTATAAAAATAGCTAACCAGTTACTTGTTTCAAATGCATGGACTTGGTAAATAAACCCTATTTATTTATTTTTATGCCAATAAAAAAAAGTAGAAGCCTCTTATAGTATAGGCGCGGCGGTGTGACTCATCTAGCTGAGCGTTAGGAATACGCTCGTCACAGCACCTCTAATTACTCTGCATGGGTTCGCAGGTTCGAGTCCCATGATTACGTGCGAGAAGATTGCTGGACTCCTCGTCGCTGTAAGGTGGTTCACAAAACCGCTGGTCGGTTACGGCTTCCTCCACCATCAAGTCCATGCTTCCGAAAACAAATACCTAACTAATCCCATACCAGACATGGAATGGCAGCCGAACGAGAGTCCATGGTTCGCCATATGGTTAAGCAGGCTTATCGGCTTTTCTTTCCCCCGAATAAATATATAAATCCTATCCTATCCTAGTAGTACACTTACCATTGGCAGTTTGCATTACAGATCCAGGAGTGAGATGGCCCAGCTGTGTGGCAGTTGTAAGGGCTGTGGCAACAGGAGACCAACCAGCAGTAGGCATGACTCCGGGGGCAGCGACTATAGGGTGTTGAGCCATCTGTAAAATAAATTTATAAGTTTTTTAATTCAATTTAAACTAGGATTGGAATCAGGCACTTCTTATTATTAACTTTTTCCTATAATGCAGTTGCTCCCAACCTTTTCGATATGTTTTTCTCACTCTGGCTTTTGTTAAGTTTGAATATCTTATAATGTGTGCTTAAATATGGGGGCTCCCGAAGTATGCGAACCAAGATGGCGGACATCGGAATGTAATATGTGTACTAGGTTAGGGTTAGGCCATAATTTCAGGTATAAATACTACGAGAGGCTCTTGGCTCGTCTTCGAACTGGTAATAGGACTAAAAGAAGGAAATTTGTAAAAAAATTATCGTCTAACCCTAACCTGTTACCCATGTTACGTTCCGATGTCCGCCATCTTGGTTCGCATACTTCGGGAGCACCTAAATATGTATTACAAGGCGCTCCCGAAGTATGTGTACCAAGATGGCGCACAACCTGAACCCTAACCTGGTACACATACTATGTTCAGGATGTGCGTCATTTTGGTGCACATACTTCTGGCGGTCCTATTACAATAATGTTAAACAAAATTAATGAAGTTTCATCATTTAGAATAAAATCTAATATGATTAAATAATGAATAAATAATAAGCAAAAATTTCAAATTTCTCTTCAAATAAACAAGAAATATATTTGTAATTTAGACTCATATGCTAAAATAATAAACCAGTTATACAGCAGTCAGGGACACACTACAGAAGAAATAGGCCATGCTGTTTGCCTACGTTTCACGATACTGAATAATTTATGCGAGAATTCTTCGTAGCTAAACAAAGGCCTTTTGAAACTGCATGCTCGAGTTACTTTTAAATTCAATTACGAAGCCATGATCCATATGGTTTTGCCAAGATGGCTAATGTAATAAAATTAAAATTTAATGGAAATTGAAACTTTAAAAAGGAGAAATTACAAGATAAATAAGACATTAGGGAGTATTTTTCATCTGCTTTTTTTTTAAATAAATATATTTTCGAAAAATTTTTACTGTAATGAATACCATACAGACGCAATACCTCATTGCTCATCAGCCCTACATCATGACTAAAATGATGAAAGTACTCTGACGACATGTTTGGGCATTATGACAGAATACTATAAGATCACATTTGTTTGTATTTTTCAGTGATCGTCAGTAACTTTTCTCAAAAATTTTTAACTAAGAGTAAGTGCATGGAACCTTGCACTGAGCAACTTGAAAAATAAAATTGCGAAAGTAATTAATCATCACCATGTATTGTTTTGGTAAAAATTCTCAAACAATCACTGACTAAAAAAAACAAACCTGGTTAAGATATATTGAGAACTGACTCTATAACAAAATTGAAATTATAAAGGAACTTTATGGACACCCTGTATATCATTTGCCTGCTCTTACTTTATTTAAACTGATTAGACTCAGAAATACTACAGATCGCAAAGCATTCTTTTTACCTGTGGCAAGGGGGTTCCATATGGTCCAAGTTGCAGAGTCACTGGGCTAATCAAGCCGTAGTTTTGAGCCATTTGCTGCATTTTTCTAATCGCTCTTTCCTTGTCTGTGTCAGCAAGTTTTACAACGATGCTTGACGACGCTCCCTAAATGAAAAATGACAATTTAGAATTAATTTATGGAAACATTAATTAACCAAAGTATATGGAAAGACTTTTACACTACAAGTGTATTTTCATTATTCAAATTGTTGTCACAGGATTTGGTACTTTTTAAAATAAATAACTGAAAGATGTTAGTAAAATGTTATAATATTACAAAACCAACTTCTGAAAAGCTGTTAAATTGCATTATACAAAATGACAAATATAAATTATCGTTAAAATAAAGCAACTACCCAGAATACAACACAAGGCATAAAAAGCTGTTTAGAATTTTCGATTACCAATATATATGATGAATTAAGGTGCATGATATTTTGAAGTGTGCCAGACAATGGCCTATCATCAAAATAAATAAACCTTTTTCCTCATACCGGCTGCATATTAACTCATTCCAAATAATTGTCTTGCTACTTACCGGCATAGTTTGACTTCCATGCAGAGATTCAATGGCAGCTTTGGCAGCAGCATTGGATGACAGTTTCACAAATGAACAACCTTTGCTTTGTCCATCAGGAGTTCTGTGAGAATATGGGATAAAATAATAACATACAATTCATTCATATATATATTCGTGTACAAGAAAAGCAGAAAAGACTCATTTTTCATTCAAGTTTGCTTATAGCAAATGAGTACTAATAATAGAGTTTCGAACGGCACTAAACTCTAAGAATTATGTCTTTCTTTGTGCACAGATGCCAGTCATTAATATAGCATAGATTTGGGATAAAGAGGTAAATTATAATCAAGACTTGGGCACTTTTCTCTGTATTTTTGTTACTTAACTCTATGGAATAACATAATGGCTCCATTTGCACAATTCATCAAAAGCAAAAGCATTCATTCAAATTCAGCAAGAATTTTTGGTTACCTGAGAATAGTGCATTCTTCGATGTGGCCGAACTTTTCAAATATTTTTCTGACATCATCTTCAGTTTGTCGCTTACCGAGCATTCCAACAAAAAGTTTTCTGTCTTCTGCAAATTAAAAATAAAGATTTGTTTATAAAAATATTTTTTTAAACACCAAATACACTAAAAACCATGATTGTATTACAGATACACAATTATGGGCGCTCTGAAAGTATTCATACCAAGATGACGCACAACCTGAACAACCCTAACCTGGTACACATACTATGTTCAGGTTGTGCGTCATCTTGGTACGAATACTTCGAAAGCAACCAAATCCCAGACTCACATCCACCCAGTGTGTCATGGATTGGGTCTACAATGCTGGAAAAAAAAATACCGGTACCTTCAAATAAACTTATTTCTTTACATGGCAGTGGATTTGTATTGAATGAAAGGCATGATGAATATTGCTCTTATAAAAAAAATATGAATAACATTATCTGTTTCCACGAAAAGTTTATTCATGAGCTTTCGTTAGCTAGCATCTTTCGAGTTGGCATCCTTGTGGCGACTGACACATACGGATTCGCAATAGAAAGTAAACAAGGAGAATAAACTTGCAGTCCAGTACACCCCTAGTGCACCTCATAAGAAATAGTTGATACTAATACAGTATGATAATAATACATAATATGATCTTTCAAAATGTCTTGCATCATTTAATTCTTGTTATTAATAGGACAGGGTGTTCACTTTGTCCAGAAAGGGAGAGGAAAGTCAATAAGACAGCTCATCCAGTGACAAGCCATGGCTTTTTATGCAGTTACAGGTCTAGCTCAAACACAGGAATATATAACCAGTCACTTGAACGTAAAAAAGATTCATCTTATCTGCTTCAGTAAACTTCATGCTATAAAAAGGGACCTCCTGAAGTATATGCACCAAGATGGCGCACAACCTGAATTCAGGTTGTGTACAAGGTTAGGGTTCAGGTTGTGTGCCATCTTTGTGCGTATTAGTATTGATTTTGAATAAGATGCAATTACAATTCCCAGAAGCATAATTGAGATGGAAAATCAGCTGACATGCAAATTACTGCCGTTAGTTTGCATCAAAGAATAAAATGCTAAAAAATATATTGAAAATTGGGGCTGCTTTACAGTAGTAGTACAGTACACATTGCGTACAACAGGCACCCTGGTTAAATTGGCTCAGAATGAATATGGGGAGAAGGATTACAAAAACGGGAAGGAATGACGTATAAAGTAGTATAGTATAGTATAAAGTAAACGTTATCGTAAAGTAGGCTTAAAATCTGCTTTGATAGGACTCATTGTTGGGTCTTTTGTATAGGGCCCCACCAAAAAATACACCCCCCTAAACTCAAATTTTCAAATCATTGTTAACTAGAAACATAACTGGAAAATTACTTATTTCTTATTTCAAAGCGTGATGGCGTGATTGTTGGGTCTTTTGTCAAGAGCCCCCACCAAAAAATACACCCCCAAATTCAAATTTTAAATTCATTTTTTAGGCCGAACCTTAACTGGATAATTACTTTTTTCTTATTTCAAAACAGGACGGATGGCTGTTTTTTTCTCAAATCTCACATATGAGGCTCTGTGGCTGCTTGTATTGGTAAATTGTTGGAGCTGCTGAAGTATGTGCACTAAGATGGCGCACAACCTGAATATAGTAGGTGTACCAGGTTGGGGTTCAGGTTGTGCACCAAGATCTTCGGGAGCGCCAAATTGGGAGATCCCGAAGTATATTTAAATAAAAATTGCAAGGTACAAACAAAAATGTCTTTACCTCCTTTATTCACAGTGTCAGCAGGCTTTACTTGCATGGGGTGGTTCATCTAAAAAATAAGGACGAGATTTAGTGATAAATTCACAATACAAACATAAGGATAGGATAGGATTTACATATTTATACCGGGGAGAGGAAAGCCGATAAGATGGCTTGATCATATGGCGAACCACGGCCTCTCGTCCGGTTACCAGTCCAGGTCGGGGATGCGATTAGTTAGCCAGTTTTTTGTTTTCAGAAGCATGGACTTGATGGTGGAGGAAGCCGTAACCGACCAGCGGTTACGTGAACCACCCTGCGGCGGCGAGGAGTCCTGCAATTCTCTTGCACATGATCATCCCCGCATGGGATTCGAACCTGCACGATGCGCCACACCGCCGAGCCAAAGAAAACAAGATACTGATTACTGAAAACAAATTACTGATCTTAAGTCTAACTCACCGTTTCCATTATCTTTGAGGAAGTGAGAAATTTATTTTTGATCGACTAATTTTTATTTAAATTACTATAGTCGAAAACAATGTTTTTATACCAATTAATACTATCTTTTCTATTAAAATCTGGCTTAATCAAAGTTGCGAGCACTCGTCAGACTAATATATTAGTGGTAAAATAAATCGCAAGCTTGAATCATTAATAGCTATATGGGGATGCTATATAAACCCTATTTAACACTATATTTAAATATCTGCTTATAAAGAGCCTTGTTTAGAGATAAGAGGAAAAACTAAGTTTAACAAAAAAATCTGGGGAAACAATAAAATACATGATCGTCCTTTTCACAAGTAAAAAATTTCCACAAGCCCACTGTTTACTGTATTTAATACCTGCTTATAAAGAGTATTGTTTAGAGCTGAAAATGTTTTACAATACAAAGATTTATATAATCCATTAACCATATGAATTAAATAAAGAAACTCTGGAGAAAATAACAAAACTATGGCCATAATATATTGCTAGGAGCATAAATAGCTACTTAAACCAAGCCTTGTTCATAGTAAAACTGAAAAATATCTTAATAATAAAGATTTACCACAATAAAGATTCATATTCACGCATATAAATTTTTTCTGAAAAACTCTAAAAAGCTACTAAACAACCCTAGCCAACTTATTCACCAACTTCTAACTGTCCTACAATCTAGAATCGATCATTATGCAGGGCGGGTATCAGCACGCAAAGTATAAGTACTCTTCCCTACTGAAATATTCATCATGGCTTGAATACAACATGAGAAAGCTCTTACAGGACCAAACAATATGTAAAAGAAAACTGAAATTTCTTGAATAAAAAGGCAAGTAATTTGAAATCGATGCATTCAAATTACGTCTGGTTACCATGGTGATAGGGCATTGCCATAGTAAAGGTCCGAATATTAATGAGACGTGGCAGATGGCAAATGCGCTAAAGGATGTCGAAATTGACGGCTATTTAAACTCAAACTTTAATATTTAATACCAAAATAAGATTATAACTGATATAGGACATGGTGGCCTACTTTTAGTCTGTCGTTAAGACAGCTGATTTTTGCTTTAATGAGTTTTAAATTCGGTACATTTCCAGAACGTTAGCGAGGGGCCGTTTACATAGGTGAGCGTCTGCTTTTTGTAGTTCACTTCGTACTAACTGACATGTCATGTCAATATGTTGCTAAATTAAAACTGTATTTATATTTTAGTGCGTGCTCCCTAAAACTCTTCTATTTCAACTTTTCGTTGACGGATAGGGCTTCGACCAAACTTGTATTTAATGAGTATATTATTTTTAAAAAATTTAAGATTTTACCCCAGCGTTGCCAGATGTATTATTTATTATGTGTGAGAGAACTCCTAGTCGCCGTAAGGTGGTTCACATAACCGCTGTTCGATTACGGCCTCTGTCCCCATCACGAATGGAATCCCTATCCTTCTTATATAAAAATTGAAACTGTCTACTTACCCCGGGCAAAGTCTTCTGTTCATGAAGAAAATTCTGTGCTTTGATAGCTGAAGATTTCTGGCAGTAAGTGAGGAACGCACATCCTGGAATAAAATAAAGTCATTGTTATTGAAATACTTTTGAGATTAATAAAAGAATATCAGAAGTATTTTTGAATGATTTATTCTGGGGAATTTGTTCCGAGCAAGATCATGCGCACTCACTTAGAAGTGAAGAGGATTGATTTGAATGTTAAATGTATGTTCGAATACTATCATATTCACAATACCACAATTTTCGATATTACACTGTTATTAGAATTACTTATTTTTCGATGTTTTCTTTCATTCTATTATCTTAGTTGAGAATAAGATAGGTTGTAGGAAAATAGAAATAACATCTCGATATCCATTTTTCGTGGTCATAGGCCCTCACTCCAAAACAAAAACACTTCCAATAAATTAAATGTTTTCAAAAACGCAAGACAGAAAAATAGGCAGTTGATTGTCAGGTGGAAACCGTCCAATACCGAAAGCATGAATATTTTATGTTCTCGGGAAGCGTCGCGATTAATATGGGCCGTAAAACGCTGGCAATCTGGAGATGTAAACTTATCGTCTCCGCATTTTTAAATAACGCTCGATTTTGTGGTTTATGTTAATCATGTTTAGCCCAGACTAAGACTGATGATAACACAAATTTAGCTATTGTGGAAAAATTTATCGATTTTATTTTCCAAAACACGGCTCTGTAGCGACATCTCCCGTACGATCAAAAATATGAACACTGAATTATGTCTCGATTACTAAATTATCTCTCTGTCTGAAGATGTCTGATGTGAGGCGAATCGTTGCAGAAATATAATGTAAATTTGTATTAATGTGGGAAAGACTATTAAATCATAAATGTTATATTTAGCCTTCAAAAATTTTATAATTCGTTACCAAATACACGGAATACATGTACACATATTTACAATACTCGTATATTTGAAAATTTTAACCACTTTCTGTTTCGAGTTAGCGGACTAAGCCTACGGATTGAGTAACACTTTACATATTTGTTACGTCACAGAAGTGCTTTCGTCGCTGTGGATGACACGATTCGTCTTTGTTCGCTAATGGTTGTCGTGTCCTTTTATTAAGTTAATAACGCTTATTTGAAATTGTGGCAACGCCTAATTTAACATAAGAACTCTTGTAAGTGATTGATAGAATTGGTAATAAATATAGTGATATTTTGTTACGTGACTTGGGTTCACTGCTCGATAACATGCTTTGGTGCCTCGCGGCTTCCCTGCCTCAGTAAAATTGTGTTAATAACTTTTTTCTCCGTATTTTGAGCATTTTTTTACTGGTCGGAAAATAAATGCACTTCACTTAGGGGGGAGGTTAAATATTCACATGGACAGTCTTTTTAGAAGTCAAGGCGTGAAAATGTGAATAAAAACACATAAACTAGTGATTTGGCACTCACATTGTATAATGCTCAATTTTGACTGTGATAAGAGATAAAACGCCACCGAAAAGGAGTCAGATTTAGCGTTTTAATAACGGGCTTCTAGTTATATTTCTCTCGAGTATACTAGCGACCACCCAATACGTTTGAGCGGTCAAAATCATACTAAACAAAATTTCGGCTGGTGTTCTGCAACTAAATATATTACAAAAAAAAAATTTTACTGAATTTTTTCCCAAATAGCGTGGGGATTCGAAAATTTGATCAGACCACCCTGAACTGAGAAGATTCCTGCATTTTCACAGCATTCTACTTACGTTTTACTAGTCTAGAGCCTTCTTAGAAGCTTAAAGACGTAAAGCTTCGTAAAAAATGATAGTAACAGACAGTTGACTATTGATAAGTTTAAATATCACAATTCCGAAAAGTAAGAATTATGGTTTTTCTAATGACGCTTCTGTTCTGTGCCATAGAGCAGTTGGACGGGGGGCACAATACTAAGGTTATTTCACAGGGTGTTTTCACTTTGTTGGGCATGAATTGTTTGAACCTAATGAGATATCTTTCAAAATAACACTATAAATACCATTGGGATGATAAACAGAAAGCGGGTGAGTGCTAAAAGCCCCCGGTAGCGAGCCACGGTGAAAGGTTGGGAACCAGTGCTCTAGAGTCTATTCGAGGGGCAACTGAAACGTGATACGTATATATTTTTGAAGAATTATGAATACTGAAAAATGCAGTAATGTAATGTGAATCTTGCACAAGATCTTTTCCCACTTATCTGTAATACGTGTGGAGTCTAACCATAAGGACATCGCACCCAATAAATTTTAATTTCACGAGATTTTCATTTATCAAGACTAAAATTACCGGTATTGACTGATTTTAACCTTTTTATGACATATTTATTTGAATAATTATTATCATACGTGTGATTTGTTTCCACACAATCGTTTGGCTAACGTCACAAAGCACCATCTGTTCATTAAATCGATCGAAACGTAAAGGATTATCGAACGAATTGTGACGGAATAATGCCAACATTAAAAAGAGCGCCATCTGTTCCAGAACGAAACAATAATTGCAAAATTTTGAACAATATGCATGGCCATAGAAAAGTCATTGATAAAACCGTATCTTGAATCCTACCATACATGGCTTGGCCTAAAATGGCGACTTCAATTAAAAATTATGCTCTGCCAAAGATAAGCCGTAAATAATTTGGAAAGAGGTATTTAAAATCGAACATATGTCACGGCAAGGAACCAAGAATATTAAAACATTGTGGGTGATGGCAGGTACAACAGAAAAATCGATTTTTATGATTAAACACGAAATTCTGACGAGAAATATTTATAAGTAATACCAAAATATGTAATCTTCGCGAAAAGTCAAGCCGTATATGCAAAAAAGCCAGCATTTCGAATGCTTATTGAGAAAATCAGGGCAAAGAATAATAAATATAAAAGTCCCCATTGATATATACAACTATATAGGTTGCAGTGATACACGAAAAAATTCTATAAATCCAACAATACATATACATTTTTTTGTCAAACGGTTTTTGTCCCTATATCAAACGATCATACATTACGTACATTTCCACTAAACAAATTAAATTTCCTTTAACAAGTTTATTACGCGGTTAAATTCAAAATTTCCAACGAAATTGTCGGGCCTTTAAATCTTTTCCATTTTACTATTTGGGCCTAATTTGCTGACTCCCGATTTACACCAAGCCTATAGAAGTGCAGCCCCACTGCAGAGGCCTAACCTAGGCGTCCTAGATAGCTGGTTAAACAACCTATTGACGCATTTCCTCGTCCAATTGTATAATAATCTTCTAAATTGACAACATTCGAACGTTTTAACTCAGTCGGAGACAATTTTTCAGGAAAAAAATCGATATTTTTTGGAAAATCAATTCGACGACCTCACTCTAAACATAATTAACGGCAGTGTTTTCGTTGGAATTAGATTTGTGTGAAAAACAATCGATTTTTCTTTGCAATCTAATAAATTTTCCCTTTCTGTTATTTATTAACGTAAAAATACCTTTTGAACCCACAAATTTTAGTCATACTAAGAAAGAATGATAAAAATAACGACTTCAAATTATTTTGATGAATTACTATATAGAGTTCCTTTGAACAAGACCTTTTGAACAGCTTTTTTTTTATCCAAAATCGCCCCCACCCTGTTCAAAAAAAATGAAAAGTGCAATCACAAAAAAAATAAGCAATGATCGAAAGTACCACTCAGACAAGTCAAATAAATTTGTATAATATAATAATTCAATTAAAAAATCCTGCTAAGTGTGGATAGAGTTAATTTTCGCCTGGATAAAAATTTTCGTTGAAGTGTCAATTTCCCTATTAGCTTTCAGCCAATAACGTACATACACATCGTCGTTCGTGAGCGGTAGTGGGCGTGGCTTTTTGTCCTTTCCAACCATTGGCGTGGCATGCACCATTATCGCGCGGAAGAGAAAAAATATACAATACTAATCAGCGGCGATAATTGGTGACTCCTTTGCATGAGAAAGTTGGCAATTTTAATTGAAGCCACACAAGTTGCTTAATTTGTATTTTATCTCGTGATGGGCGCGTAAGACCAATAGTTAGAACAATGGTTTCCAACCTTTTATGGCTCGTGGCCCCCGTTCCGAAGGCTTTCAGCACTCATGGCCCCTGATTATCATTCCATTGGTATTTTATAGTGCTACTTTGATTGATGTATTCCAATTACCGTATATGCTCGTTTTACCGCCCGATCTTAATTCAGGGCCCGTTTGAACAGAACATAAAAATAAATAGGGGCCGGTGCTTGAATACCCGCCTGATGTAAAAGCTGATTTTTCAGCGGTAGAGAACAATAGGAAATAAGAAGCCGTTTTGTCACAACGCTGTTGCATTTTAAGCGCTGGTGGATAACACTCACGCCTTTGGCGTCCAAAAGTCAAAATTTTCGTTATTCTCGTTTAAATCATACTTGAGAACTGGAAATAACAATATATTGATTATTGTAACGATCGAAAATAACAAGCGCCCGTGCTTGAATAAGGGCCGGTTTGTATAAGGGCCCGGTTAGTGAGTTGGTTGAAAAAAATATGGGCCCAGGGGCCCAGGCTACAAAACGAGCAAACACGGTATGTTTAAACAATTCATGCTCAACAAAGTGAAAATATTCCGTGAAAAAACCTTATCAATATATGACACAGGAAGAACGGGGCATTTTCCTGTAAATAAAGAAGTAAAATCAGTTTTGCGACAAGGCCATACCTAATCAAACGTCGTTTTAAAGAATATACATACAGTGGATGGGCCTTATGCAAATCGAACACTTATTGAAAAAATAATACAAGCGCTATTTCTGTTTTCTGTTTTAGAGGTATTAATTCATCACAGTAAATATGCGTTTTACGAATTGTATCTGCGGAAGTATAATTTGCAACAGCCAATCATCATTCACTTCCGGTAATTTGTCATAACGGCTTCTTTATTACGTGTATAATTCACGACGAGAAAATATAATTACAGACTTATTATTCGCTCTTGTCTTGTTAGTTTTTTGTTTTGTTTGTCAATACAAGAAACTCAATGTTGTCTGACTGTTCTATAACAAAAGTTTGTTTTTGTGTATTTTTTCCATTTTTTACTGAGTGAAAACAACAAACCTGGTTAAGATATATTGAGAACTGACTTCATAACAAAATTGAAATTGTAAAAGGACTTTATGGACACCTTGTATACCTTCTCGCATATACAAAACTGCTTGTCTCGAGCCTTGTATTGAGTGAAAGACGAAAATCAATTGTCCGCGCAATTGTGTTGCCGATATAATTATTCTAATTTGCAACCCTAATCCCACCGTAATTATAAAACCAAGTTTCATTACGTAAAATAATATTCTTTCAAGGGATGACACTTCAAATATAATCAATGCAACGTGTAAACACAATTATACGAAACTACCATCATTAAATCCTTCACAATGTCAAGAGAGCGATCGACGACTAAATTGCTTTGCCTACTTCACCCGAATTCAGATAGATTCTGATTTAACTTTGAGTTGGGGTTGCGCGGCATCCGTATGCGTATATTGCAAGGGTGCTATAGCAGGAATAAACATGACTATTCTATCCAAATAAAGAGTCCTGCTGCACACTAACGCACATGTATTGCTCCAACGTTTCGTCTGATCAAAGTCAGACTTCCTCAGACAAACAGTTCACAACAATCACTTCTGATCATAGATTCTGATTGGACATAGTGTTGGGGTTTTATTTATTAAAAAGCGGACCTTTTCCTGGTTTGTGTTCATTGCAATAAGCCACTCTGCGCAAACCTGCATTTCACCTTGATTCTGTATGTGCTCTATGCGATTGGAAAGAGTTTATTAATAATTATTCAATATATCTCACCCAATACCGTTCGTTCTATATGACTAATAGCGCTATGTTTTTCGCACAGGTTATTCAATTTCATATATTGTTACGAACACATAAAAATTGTCTTCAGCTTTGTGCGGCAGATTAGCAAATAAAACTGAAATTAGTATCTCAAACAATTTATAGTCAAATATGAGAGGGGAGGTTACAAAATGGCGATCTTTTGTATAAAGCCCCTGCCACTGATACAAAAATGTGAGATTTGAGGAAAACATCCCCGCCACGTTTTAAAATAACAAATAAGTAATTACCTAGTTGGGAATGGGGTTAGAATTGATTTGACCATTCGAATTTTCAAAAGCCTCACTGAATAAGTACTGATTTTCTTACTTTGACCGTTGGCGAGGGTGTTTTTTGACAGGGGCATTGTACAAAAGATTCCGGGATGGAAAGACTATTTAAAATGCAGCTTCATATCGGGTCATTTCCATATATTGCAATATATTATCGGGTTAGGCAGAATCGGATTAATATCGTCACGCGCTATTGATTAAAAGTATACGAAATAGAATCATGTGATTAGTTAAGCGTGGCCGATTATATTTGTGAAAGCGAAAGTGATATACAGCTGTTATTGACAGAAAAATTATTGTAATTTCGTTGTGTATCGAAACACTCGCTCAGGATATACTGTCACTAGCATGTAAAGATCAATGCATTTTGAAAAGACCGTATTCATTACTGATTCGGCATTTCCTGCCAATTTTAACGGGCGCTACCGATAAGTAATAATTTTAGGGTGTATATACAGGTGGTCGCTATAGAAAAACAGAAAATTTGTCAAACAGCTAATTATCCCACAAGTTAACCTTCAAAGCGCCATACAAGCTTGGACTTCTAGATTAAGACACTGCTCTGAAGTGCACGGACCACATTTTGAGCATCTTTGAGTGTGATATAACATATGCCTTTAAAAAACTTGGTAAAAGTTATTCTTTGTAAAGATAAATAGTTGTTTGACGAATTTTTTGTTTTTCTAGCGACCGTATATACATCCATTGCCGGGCGAGGCCATTTATAACCCACACGGGTCCTTGAATAGTCTTTATTTCAATGCGGAACGAACTTTTTAAGCGATTTTTAGAACGACAAGAGGGCTGGATGCTTCCACTTTACCAGATGCTTTACAATATATGAGTGTCCTTCATTACCGCGCGTGAGCGTTGAAATGCGCGGACTCCTGATTACCTTTAGGATTTTCTACTGATTTACAAATGTATACACTGAACGAAATATATCTGGTTAGTATGAAAACGCTAAATGCAATTATTTTTTCGTGCGACATATCCCACTAAAAGCGGGAAGTGCAAAATTTTTCTGCTGCCCAGAGCGAGTTTCTGATAATGATGCCACTTATACCTAACTTCAATTTGTTTATCCCCCAAATTATGGATGTTGTTATACATGAGAATAAATAAATTGAAGGTAAAGTAATATTGAAATGTCTGTAATAGCAACATAGCAATTTTTCGTAGCTTGAAACGTTCTTTGAACCCCATGAATCTTGGAAACCTACTTATTCGACCAGCTAGCTGTAAGCTGTTACTGTCTAACTTGGCAAAAAGATATTTCAGAATCCTTAAAATTTTTGACTGCCCTATGGTCAGTGATATGTCAACAGATACTACTTCAATTCTACATTTTGAAGTGATATTTTTATGCGACGATTTTGGTGTTTTTATTCCGAGAAAGGCCCTGTTGTGTAAGAATCCAAGTGCAGTTTCAAGTATTCTGTGGCGTCTGCAGCTGCCGCAAAACCAAGGCGGTATTTCCATACCATGGCCGCTACGACCAAACATATGGCCACATTTTAGCTGCCACAAACCAATGTCGAGCTGCCGTTACCGCGGCAGCAAATTGAAAACCAATGGCAGGTAAAATTTATATATATTGGGTATATTGGGTAAGTTGGAACGTTTTTCTTATGGATACAGTTTTGATGGATTCGGGGGTTAGGGTTTAAGTAAATATAATTCCACATGATCAATTAAAGTCTGGTACATTAATTTGTGGATATACTTTTAATACTGATTACTGAATAGCGCTATAAAACCATGGCAAGAGCTGCCGCGGTTCGTTCGTGGCAGGAGCTGCCATGAAGTGGTAAGAACTGCGCCTCTAAGAATCTACCATTTGCTTCTTTCCAAGGCTTTTAAATTCATATACCTTCAAATACCATTCCATTATTATTTTTTTAATAGTATATTTCTAGTAATACACACTTGATCGGCGAAGTGTGCGCAATTCACGAGATATTATAACAATATATCCTAAGCTTTTAATAGCATTAAAATTATTGGGGCGAATCAGTAGTCGAATAATATAATTACGAAGAATCAATGACTATTGAAGTCAGGGCACACGTTGTGAATTGTCTGAAAAAATTCAGTGTTCACTTTATAAATTTATCCAAGAACGATTATGGTAGAAAAAGCATGGTACACATTTAAATGAATTTAGCAATTTATATTACACATTACATGTTGGATAAAAATTTCGAAAAATTCAATTTTAGTGTTAATATGAAGATTTTAAATTAATTTATTCGAGAAGAACACGGATCTTGTCGCAGGATGCAGCGTACATATTATAATGACACTCAATATAGCCTATATTACGTTGTTGTTAATATTTTGAATTGACACTCATGGCTTCTAAGATTCACGGCCGAAATACGAACATAGTGGCCAAACGCGATTGATTTTTATTAAATATTTATTTAGACAATGTTATGTCATTTCCTAGTGTTGTTTATTCTCTTCTCACCAACAACATACACATAAAAAAAGTTTAAAGACGATCTTGCAAGTACCCACTATGTGCTAATTATCACATACCTTTATGCATTCCTGTATATTTATCGTGCAGAACAGACAGTTCGTAAATTTCTCCGTACGGCTCAAAAATTGGTCTCAAATCGCTCTCCGTCCAGTGTTTAGGAACTTGGCCAATAAAAAGCTTGACAGCGTCATCGTCCTTGTCTGGCAATTCTAAAATGACGTAACTCGTGACGTAATTCATGACGTAATCGTTAAAATTCGAATAAATGTAATTGAATTTACCATGCATGCTGATATTCGATGGAGTTCCACAGATTGATGGACGAGATTGTGACGTAACAATGTGTTGTGAACATGGTGGTTGTGGCGGAATAAAACCTGAAATTTAAATAACAACAAATATTTTAAACCATTGTCTTGAAGAATTTTAGGCTATTGAGCCATGATACGTGCCAAAAGCGCGTCACATTTTAGGTATTATTTGCTTTTTAGCGCTCAGACCGGCTTTGATATAGGATTTCTGAAATATGAGCGAAAAAGAGGTGAATTCAGGCAGATTTTTTTAAATTTTGTATATATATTTAAAACAACGTAACGAAGTATACATGCAAAAAGCGAGTCAAATTTTCATATTGCTGGATTTTCAATACTTGAAATACTTTTTTGATAATGATTTGCCAGTTTAAATCCCAGGTATTGGGTATAAACGGAGAGTCGGTCACATTAAAATTCTATGTCTGAAAATTAGTTCAAGTCGGGAGAAGTGAAAAGTTCATTTACGACTAAATTGTCTGGCGCATTCGTCGAAATTTGTGAGTATATATATGGTTTTATTCAGCGGAAAGTGGAATTTATCTAATATAAATTCAAAAACCAGATTTGAAGTTAAAAAAATTGAAAACCGGATTCGGATATTGTACAATTTTTGACTCCTAGATACCCTGTCAATCACCAATTTTCACGACATTAAATCCCTAGTGCAAAGGGCAACATCTTCATTAAAAATTCATCAGTTTTTGCCCATAATGGTAAATTATTTTCGTTGGAAATCTGAAGCCGGGAATGATAATTATCCAATCTTGCATTATTAATGTCCTACGGGAATTTGGGCTGCCAAACGCGCACTTAAAAACTGCCTTTCCAAGCGAAATTAATGAAAAATTCCGCGAATTTGGTTAGCAAGTTCAAATCGGGCGAAAATTGATGTTTAACCCCGCCAATGAATCAGGCATATGCTCTTAGTATATTAGTATTCACAGATTTATCATATACATCAAATTTACTTCATTGGGAACACGGAATAAAAATCAGGATATGGGTGTCACTGTTAGGTTTCAACAAAGCTAATTCAAACGAAACTCGAAAGAATTCACATATTCGAAAAAGCCAAGTCTGAAAATTTAAAATTTCAATTTGTTTTGCGAGATTCACTGTGCAAAGGAATCTGCACGGGATTTGAAAGTCGAATTTAACTGCAAACAATAATTCTAGAATATGTATTCCATCTCTTTTATCATTTAATATTTCTTTTAATTAAGAGGTTTAAAATTTACCATGAAACCATCAGTTTTTTTACATTTGCGAGCGACTCAAACATAACCAAAGGTAGCTGCTCTTTATGGCAGCCAAATAGCACAACATGGAGTACGCTATTCAAATGGTGATTGTGACAATATATATATCCCTATTCCTAACCTGCTGTCTATAGGGAAGCCAAATAGTAGTATTTCGAACTGCTCTTTATACTAGCATCAAATAAAAAAGTCCTTACCATTAAGTTGCATTACAGGAGACTCCATTGGCAAATGGCTTGTATTTGTGGCAACGGGGATTACATTGTTGACAACTTGAAATCCAAAAGGATTGGCAGGGTTGCCACATCCTCTAATTCCTCCCGCAGAAGGAAGAGTGTGCTGTAAGACTTGTGTAGCTCCATGCATTGCCATAACCATCTTGTCTTCAATTCAAACACAAAAACACGAACGTAAACTTCACAGTGTAGTAAATACAATAATGATCTCAAATATATATTTTTCGTGAGATTAAACTTAAATCTGAAAATGCAAAAATTGATTTCTTAAAGCAGGGGTTTCCGGGTATATTCATAGAAAGACACACACAACCGGTAACAGTAAACAATATAAGTTTGAATGTAGCAATTCGGTTGTAATTTGACCCTTCATTCCGAGCGATTGTGTCCCTATATATGAAGATCAAATAAAACATATCCAAGTTTAGCCAATGGTTCGAATGTCTGTACAGGTCACCAAAAACCTCCTCAAAACAAAGAAGACCTGTGAAAAAACTACTGAGATGTAAGTTGCCAATCGCTGGCCCATACAGACTCAATCAGAGCATTCGAAGTGAAACATGTACAACTGGTAAAAGTTAAGAGTTTTCCAACGTTCGGAATGTCTATAAAAAAGCATTTCATCGGGATAATGTCGACCGAAATACTATAAAATGTAAAGATCTCGCTTTGGCTTAATATTCATATCTCGGTACTCACACTGTAAACATCGTAATATATTCGTCAAAATAGGCCTACATTACCCACACTACATACAATACAGCATAAGCATAAAACGCAGCACCTATACTCAAAACAACCGTTATTCTAATATAATAAATACAATAAAGAATGCCCTTGAAGAATTTGAAGTTATGCGTATGCCAAGACTGCGTGCACCACACAATATATTTAGTGTGAAAGAACCAAAGCAGCAGCAAAGCCCAAATAAAATAAAAAGACGGAAAAAAGTGATTGGAAGCATTCAGCGCCCATCAACAGTCTAAACCTAACAGCTAAGGCCACAATACAGCGCAGCACCTACTCACAACAACCGTTATTCTAATATAATAAATACACTATCGTATCACAAGAGCGTACGGGATATCGATCCTCCCAAAATTATATACGTCGACGATAGCGAGTAACAAAAAAATCTCGACCCAAATCATAACCACGCAGTATTATATTGATTACCGATACTGGGATTATCGTAGAGAAGTACTGTTGAAAAATACGTAAAATTCATTTTAAAATCGCAGTAAATTAGGTTTTTAAATGTAAGCTTGACTAGAAATGGCGCTACTTGGAATTAAATCATATTATATATAAGCCAAGCTTGATACTGCATTAGTGTCTGATATTACTAAATGCAGTAGTGACAAGAATTATAGCAAAATTCAGAAATATTTAACGAATTTGTTAACAGCGTAATTCTAATTAGAAATATAAAGAATTAAAATTCATAGGCAGATGCCGAAGCGTGCTTCCAATCGATTATAACTCGTATTGAAATATGGTTCGTTTGGAGAGTAAATATGTATCGGTGTACTCTTGGTATTGCGCCACTATGCTATATGTGAGGCTAAACTGAAAGAATCTATAGCAGGGTGGTCCAAACCCAGGCCCACGGGCTACATGTGGCCCGCCGCTTCATTATCTGTGGCCCGCGTCACATTCGGAGAGTAATCAAAAATCGCATTTTGTGTTGTTTCGTAATAAAATTAATCAGAAAAAACTTTTGACATATTGTTACATCAATAATGTCACTAAATTGCCTAGTGTTATGGCTAACTGAGGCAACTAGCGAAGTCGAATGAGGTACTTGGCAGTCTAAATTATTATCTGGCTTTCTATCTTTTTGGTCGGGAATATATGCTTACAATATAGGCATCATGGAAAACTAAAAATAAAATGCAGATTCTATTAGCCTATGTCTGATAACTATGTGTTTGCACAATGAAAGTGTTTGTTTTGTATTGCACTGTTCACCTATTCTTGGCAGTTGGCACTATTGTGGCCCGCGAACAATGAAAAAATAATTTTGTGGCCCGCGGAGCCGACAACCTTGAACCACCCTGATCTATAGTTATTATCCCACCTAGCGTAGCCAGGGATTTTTAGGAATGGGGGGCTGAAACTTGTAATTGCCGATTTAGACCGTAACAGCTAGCGAGTCCAACCGGAGGCCGAAAATGTGGGTTTTCGAAAGTTTGAAGCGTTCAAGCTAAGAAAATTGCTGTATGAAACGGGAAAATGCTTTTTTTACATTTCAAATATTATATTCATCTACACTCAGAACATACTATGAGTCCCACTTCAAATGCTTGCTTTAACCATTTGCCACGCGTATTTTTAACGCGTGATTCTACATCTGATTTATAGTCTCAGCAACCCTTTGCACTTCAGTGCCGCCCGAACTTCGCTTAGAGATCGGATCGATTTCCTATATTTAGTATTTGTGACCTTGCTTTGAGCAAATTTCCCTCCTACTTCATACGTTCACTTATTCTAAGGTATAAGGTTATCATTCGGGCATTTATTAGGCTCTAAATCGCGATGCAATGTTCACTGCGGTTACAATACACATGACCTGATTATCCGCTACCATTTCCGTCTTACAATTTGAGCCTTCATATTAGATAATACGTGCTTATATAGGTTCCTCACAGCGACGGCCTATCTTTGACAAGTATGCTTACTGAATAATAATATTATTAGGAAATAATGACATATTTATTACCGCATATACAACAGAGTAAGACAAAAAAAACAGACCGCAAAATTTTTCGATTACTTCTAGAAAATTTATTTAACACTTGAACTTCTAATTGTGTATGATTGTACCCAAAAGTTTCTGTAATCTAAGACGCTTTGCACAACAAATTATGTTCTCTCTAGATTCTGGAAAAAGTTCCAAATTACCTGTGCGCTTGGGCATAGTTAATAAATTCAGGCAATAAACGTCCTACGTTTTTAACAACTATAAAGATACGGCATTGACTGATAATACACATTTTGTGAAGCCGTCTTGAAAAACAGACCTACTGCCTAAACAGCATAGCACTAGCCTTCTACGGGAGAGTTCATCAAATTGCGATTGTGGTGTCACTTTCTTCAAATTTAACATCTTGTTACGAAACAAAATGTACAACAGAAGCATCGAAAATGTATAGATCCTCGGACGAAAATCGCAAGCCGACTGACCGACTTCCAATTATTATGAGGTCCTTCTGAATTCATACCGTCCAGATTCGATATTTAGAAATACGTAACCGTGCACCAATATTCTTATAGCGAATGATCCGCAAACATAAGCATTTAAGATAGTTAGTTAGTCACTAAGCAGAAATTGCAATTCCACCTCATATCTTAACTAAATAATTTCCAACAATACGTACATCGTGCCGAAGATGCATAAACCGAATCCTATTTTATGGTCCTTTTGGATACCAACCCTCCGGATTCGATATTCAAAATTACCCAAAACGTTATATACTGTAACGTTAGGCCAATGGACACTGACATAAGCATCGAAGATAGTCAGTTGGTTACCAAGCAGAAATTACATCCCAACCTCATATCTTAGCTAAATAACTTCTAAAAATACGTAAACCGTCTCCCGCTGCCAAAAAGGCACAAACCGAATCCTAATTGGGTCCTTTTGGATTCAAACCCTCGAGATTCGATATTATAAATTACCAAAAACGCCTATAGCGTTAGACAAATGGACACTGACATAAGCATTGAAGATAAATAGTTACTAAGCAGAAATTACAACCCCACCTCATAACCTAACTCTAGGTAAATAACTACTAAAAATACGTACATATACGCATAGTGCTAAAAGGGCATAAACCGGATCCTGTTCTAGGGTCCTTCTAGATTCAAACCTCCAAAATTCGATTTTTTGAATTGCCCAACCATACACACAAAACTTACAGCTTTTTCTGGCATGCTCCTGCTTCGCTTACTCTGATTAATCAACACGAGCTTCTGCCTCCTTTCAACTGCCTAAGTATGAAATTTGACGCCATCTTCTGAACTGCTATTTCCGCTTGCACGACTGCTGAGTGTCTTGTGCCGTATTGTGAATATTCTGTTATAAGAACTTATTGTAACCGTTACATTATTTTCTCGCATTTGCCCCAGCAGCCTGTTGCCGGGAAAACCATTTGCGGGAATAGCTTATTTATGCGCTGAACAGGTATTTGTTATGGCAGTATATTGCCGAGAAAGCTATTTGTGCGGAAAACTGATTTTATACACCAAAAAAGATATTTTTGCGAAAGTGCGTTGCCTTAAAAGGCATTTACGCGAATAATTGATTTATATTTTTCGCAGCAGTTCGTTATCGAGAAAATCATTTGTGCGAATACCTGTTTTATGCACATAAAATTTTTTTTGCTGTTGTCCGTTGTTAAAAATCCTGTTTGTGCGAATAATTAATTTTATGTAATGAAAGACATACATACAAAAACAGCATACATATTATAATCCCGGTTTTGAATAGAAACTTTTAAACCGTCTGATAAAATGGTCATTGTCTCATTATTTAAATGCTGGTTACTGATAAGGTAACGATCGTCAAATTAAAAGGACAGACGTTCGTCTGCCAGATGCCACGTAGCGGTAACCATTAGCAATATGTAGATCTAAAACAAAGACGAACTACTATGTACTATCGTATTATTGCGTCACCATTATTATTCGTTGGTTATGTTAAACAAGGTTAATATAATCTAAAGAAAGGGTAGGCAAGTTTTTTATACCGGGGGGGGGGGGGGCAAACATTTTGCCCACCTAGACCGGCGAACCATGCAAGTGTGACGTAAAAAGTTACATTTTATGAACAATATTTACAGTGTTACGAAAGAAAAAGCGGAAAACAATGAGCCTCGTGCCAAAATCAAATTTAATCGCAATCTCAACAAATTTCTTGAGCTTTTTCTAAGCTGAAACATCAAATTTGGTTTTAGTTTGGTTGTGGCAGCATCAAGCGGTTCAGATTGAAAACCCCAACGGGACGAATTTGGCACGCGGGCCCTAGTTTGTCCATGTGTATTTGTTAGATCATATTCTAACTTCTCAAGACAACACAAGATATAACTTATTCAAACAGCAAATGAATTAAGTTATAGTATTTTCTTTTGAAAAAACGGCGATAAGAATGGAAATTTCAACCAACCTAACCCTAAGATAAAGGGGTTCAATAAAAAAAAAACAGCTGAGAAAGGCCTTACGTACCAACGGATGCTGTTCAGAGTATAACGTATATGTAAGT